TGTGTGTATTTTTAAATTATTTAATTTAGTCCCTTTATTAATTTGGGTTCACCACAGCGGAATAAACTGCCAACTTATCCAGCATAAGTGTATATTTGATATACATCTTTACATTTATGGTTTTATTTGTTGTGTCAAAAAATACACAATTATTTTCCTTTATTTATTTTAATTTCATTCATTCATTTTCTTGTCGGCTTAGTCTCTTTATTAATCCGGGGTTCGCCACAGCGGAATGAACTGCCAGCAAGTTTTTGTGCAGAGGATGCCCTTCCAGCCGCAACCCATCTCTGGGAATTTTATTTTATTTTATTTTATTTTATTTTATTTTATTTTATTTTTATTTTATTTTATTTTATTTTATTTTATTTTATTTTATTTTATTTTATTTTATTTTATTTTTTGGCCAAGTCCCTTTATTCATCAGGGGTCGCCACAGCGAAATGAACCAACAACTTATCCAGCAATTTAATTTAATTTAATTTAATTTAATTTAATTTAATTTAATTTAATTTAATTTAATTTAATTTAATTTAATTTAATTTAATTTAATTTAATTTAATTTTTAAAAGTATGTAATATATTTATTGATAAATGTATCTGATGCAACTATAAGTTCAATGAAAATAAAACACAAAAAATCAAGTTTTATTAGATTAGTGTTAGATGGTAATAATGCATTGCTTATCAATTTTACATGTAAATAATTCTAAATGTAAGTATAAACTTATTTAAATACCCCCTTTACCAGAAATATGTCATTTGTCCATTATGTTAAATTACGGTTCACTTGCTTTACTAATAATTTTTATATTTAAGTTGGGTGTTTCCCAGTACTGGGTTGCGGCTGGAAAGGCATCCCCTGCATAAGGTTAATTACACTGTGGCGACCTCTGACAAATAAAGGACTAAGCGGATGGAAAATGAATGAATGAATGAGGTATTGCTAATAATTTGATCATTTCAGCACTTAAGTTAAATAGAACATAAAAACAAAACAAAGCGTTAATTATGAAATCCATTATACACACTGAAGAATGTATGGCATATATACCTCAGAGACCTGTAGTTAATTAATTTGCTTGTGTCTGTAGTTGAGTTTTTCTAAGTAGGTCACTAATGTTCATTAGACTGTCTCCTGAGTGTTGTGTTTTATTAATATCTGCTCATCTTGATCTACAGATCATATCAGGTCAGTTTCTGACTGACAGGAAGGTGGGCGTTTATGTGGAGATTGACATGTTTGGACTTCCAGTCGACACAAGACGAAAAGCGTTCAAGACAAAGACGTCCCAGAGCAATGCCATCAACCCGGTGTGGGATGAGGAGCCCATCGTCTTCAAGAAAGTAGGGTTTATTTCTGGAGTGCTGGTGCCTGGAGGAGTGAGTGTGTCAAATAAGCGCTGGTTTTGTGCTGTGTGTTGGTCAGGTGGTGCTGCCCACATTGGCTTCCCTGAGGATCGCAGTGTTTGAGGAGGGAGGAAAGTTCATCGGTCATCGCATCATTCCCGTCTACGCCATCCGCCCCGGTGAGGACAACGGCAGGGCTAATCAGTGTTGCCAGGTTTTTGCAACAAAACGAGCCTAATGGCAGTTCAAGCTAGCTCGAAGTAGCCCAATAACCAATTAAACTCAGTGGCCAATCATAAACCAGCCCAAATGTAGCACTATGGGCTATCAAAACTAGCCTAAAACTAGCCCAGTGGCCAATGAAACTAGCCTAATGGCCAATCAAACTAGCCTACAACTAGCAAAATGGCCTATGAAAAGTAACCCAAAACAAAGCCTAATCAAATTAACACAAAATTATCCCAATAGCATATCACACTAACCCAAAACTAGCCAAATGGTCAATCAAACTGACTTAAACTACTCCAATGGCCAGTTAAACTAACCCAACACTAGCCCAATGTTCTATCATACTAACGCAAAACAACTTAACGGCCAATCTAATTAACCCAAAACAAGCCAAATGGCCAGTCATACAAACCCAAAACAACCCATGGCCTATCAAACTAATCCAAGACTAGCCCAGTGTCCAATCAAACTAGCCCAAAACTAGCCCAATGTCCTTTCACACTAACCCAAAACAACCCAATGGCCAATCAAACAAACCAAAACTTGCTCAATGGTCAATCAAACTAACCTAAAACAACCCATTGGCCAATCAAACTAACTCAAAACTACCCCAATGGCCAATCAAAGTAACCCACAACAAGCCAAATGGCCAATCACACGAACCCAAAACAACCCAATGGCCTATCAAACTAATTCAAAACTAGCCCAATGTCTAATCGAACTAGCCCAAAACTAGTCCAATGTCCTTTCATACTAACCCAAAACAACCCAATGGCCAATCAAACTGACCCAAAACAACCCCAATGGCCAATCAAACTAGCCCAAAACTAGTCCATTGTCCTTTCATACTAACCCAAAACAACCCAATGGCCAATTAAACTGACCCAAAACTAACCCAATGTCCTTTCACACTAACCCAAAACTAGCCAAATGGTCAATCAGACTGACTCAAGCTACTCCAATGGCCAGTTAAACTAACCTAAAATAAGCCAATTGGTCAATCAAACCAATCCAAACTATCCCAAACTATCCCAATGTTTTTTCATACAAACCCAAAACAAACCCAATGCCCAATCAAACTAATCTAAAACTAACCCAATGGCCAATGAAACTAGCCAAATCTAGCTCAATGTCCTTTCATACTAACCCAAAACTATCCATTGGCTAATCAAACCAATCTAAAACTAGCCCAATGGCGAATCATACTAGATAAAAATTGCCCAATGGCCAATTAAACTAACCCAACACTAGCCCAATGTTCTATCATACTAACGCAAAACAACTTAATGGCCAATCTAACTAACTCAAAACTAGCCCTATGGCCAATCATACAAACCCAAAACAACCCATGGCCTATCAAACTAATCCAAGACTAGCCCAGTGTCCAATCAAACTAGCCCAAAACTAGCCCAATGTCCTTTCACACTAACCCAAAACAACCCAAAGGCCAATCAAACTAACCAAAACTTGCTCAATGGTCAATCAAACTAACCCAAAAACAACCCATTGGCCAATCACACTAACTCAAAACTACCCCATTGGGCAATCAAACTAAGCCAAAACTAGCCCAATGGCCAATCAAACTAACCCACAACAAGCCAAATGGCCAATCACACGAACCCAAAACAACCCAATGGCCTATCAAACTAATTCAAAACTAGCCCAATGTCTAATCGAACTAGCCCAAAACAACCCCAATGGCCAATCAAACTAGCCCAAAACTAGTCCATTGTCCTTTCATACTAACCCAAAACAACCCAATGGCCAATTAAACTAACTCAAAACTACACCAATGGCCAATCATACAAACCCAAAACAACCCATGGCCTATCAAACTAATCCAAGACTAGCCTAGTGTCCAATCAAACTAGTCCAAAACTAGCCCAATGTCCTTTCACACTAACCCAAAACAACCCGATGGCCAATCAAACTAAACAAAACTTGCTCAATGGCCAATCAAACTTACCCAAAACTAGCCCAAATGGCCAATCAAACTAACCCAAATAGCCTATTAACACTTGCCCAACTGTCTGTATTTTTAAAATGCTGTCTTTTACTGTAATATTTTTGTATTGTATAAACACATAATTGAATCATTTTCGTTCTCAGGTTATCGTTACATTGGTTTGAGAAATGAGAAGAATCAAGGGCTCACTCTTCCTGCTTTATTCGTCTATATCGAGGTGAAAGACTACGTGCCTGATACTTTCGCTGGTAAGATATTATTTTCTTCAATCACCTGCCATCTGACACTCTTTCAGGATCTGCTGTGAATATAAGTGAAGTCATACAGTGCATAAGCGAAGGAAAATCGAAGCCTGTTTTTAAGACCACCAAACTTACTTGGGTTATTTGCAATATTCCTTCATTCATTTTCCTTTGGCTTAGCCCCTTATTTCTCAGGAGTCGCCACAGCGGAATGTACTGCCAACTATTCCAGCATATGTTTTACGCAACAACTGCTCTTCCAGCCGCAAACCAGTACTAGGAAACACCCATTCACACGCACACACACACTATGGCCAATTTAGTTTCTTCAATTCACCTATAGCAATATGTGTTTGGACTGGGGGGAAACAGGAGCACCAGTAGAACATGCAAACCAGCAACCTTCTTGATGTGAGGTGACAGTGCTAAACACTGAGCCACCGTGCCGCCCTTTCAATATTTAGTTGAAGGCGAAGTTGTTAGCCTCCCTGTGAATTTTTTCTTGTCCGATTTAAAGGCTTAATTGATAAAACTATGTTAATTAGGCAAGTCATTAGGCAACGGTGGTTTGTTCTGTAGCAAGTCAAAACAAAAAGTCATTTATTCATTCATTTTCTTTTCGGCTTAGTCCCTTTATTAATCCGGGGTCGCCATAGTGGAATGAACCGCCAACTTATCCAGCAAATGTTTTACACAGCGGATACCCTTCCAGTTGCAACCCATCTCTGGGAAAAATCCATGCACACTCATACCCATACACTACGGACAATTTAGCCTACCCAATTCACCTGTACCGCATGTCTTTGGACCGTGGGGTAAACGGAAACACCCAAAGGAAACCCTTGCAAACCAAGGGAGAACATGCAAACTCCAAAACAAAAATTTGTTATTTCAAATTTCTTAAGGGGGCTAATAATATTGACCCTAAAACAGTTTGTAAAAAAAATAATAATAAATAAAAAAAATAATAAAAATAAAAGGAATAAGACTTTCTCCAGGAGACAAAATGAATAGGAAATACTGTGTAAAATTGGAAACATCACTTGAATAATTTATTAATTCATATTATTTTGAAGTTGCACAATGAATTTACAGGGTATCTGCAGGGTCTTAAAAATTATTAAAAGTTGATGAATCAATTTAGAGAAATGTAAGGCCCTTCAAAAGTCTTAAATGCTGTCACAAGGTATTAAATTTTGCATCATTTTTGATTAAGCAGTTGTATAATTATAGTTGTATGCTAAAGTTTTGAGATTCTGTGTAGTTTGTGAAATTGGTAAAATCCTGATATATTTGATATCACACAAAGGCAGAACCATTCTTTCTGCTGTTCCATAGGCAAAACCTTCTGGATTAACATTTTTATATGAGTAATGCTTTAGTTTAGGATTAGTTTCTTGCTCAGTATTTAGTGAATATATTTAAAATGTTGCCAATGTGACATAAAGTGGCGATGAGGTCTTAATCGGCAATCTGCACAATCACGCCAAGAATCTCGGAGTTATCTTTGATCCACTCTTGCAGTTTGAGAAACATGTAAATGCAGTTGTGAAGAGCAGTTTCTTCCAGCTTAGATTGGTGGCAAAAGTTAAACGCTTTCTTTCTAAAAATAGATTTAGAAATCGTAACCCATGCTTTAATGTCCTCTCGGTTAGACTACTGCAATTCTTTGCATATTGGCCTACCTCAGTCAACACTCTCTCGGCTACAGTTGGTCCAAAATGCAGCCGCCAGATTAATAACAGGAACTAAGAAAAGAGATCATATCTCCCCTGTCCTTGCCTCATTGCACTGGCTACCTATAAAATACAGGGTTGATTTTAAAATTCTTCTTTTCACTTATAAAGCTTTGCACAATTCTGCCCCGGTCTATGTCAGCGAGCTTATTAGGCCTTATACAGCTTGTAGATTCTTAAGATCACATGATCAGTTTCTTTTGTCTGTCCCTCGGTCTCGCTGCAAGTCAAAGGGTGATCGAGCTTTCAGTGTTGCGGCCCCAAGGCTCTGGAATAGTCTCCCTCTCTTGCCTTTGACTGATGCATGCATGTTATTTTTGTATTATTTATATTTTAGTATTACTTTTAAATATATTTTATTGTATTTTTAATACCAGTTATTTTTAGTTTTATTGTCTAGTTTATTTTATTGTAAAGCACTTTGGATCAACTACGGTTGTGTTAAATTGTGCTCTATAAATAAAGTTTGCCTTGCCTTGCCTTAAAAATCTTCTTTTGATATACAGGCTTTTTTAAACATTAAGGCATCTTAATGTAATGTTGTGTGATTTATGCACGTGATGTAGCTATGAACTAGTTTTAGATTAGTTTATATTGGTTATGTGGCAGATATTGCGCTCTCCCTCTCTCTCTCTCTCTCTCTCTCTCTTTCTCATTAACATGCTTAAATACTTGTGCTATATAACGATATAAACGCTGTTTAAGTCCTCGTGTATGAGATTTTAGGTTTGGTATTCTTCTGAAGTCTGTTCTGAAATGAAAGCCTTAGACTTGACGTCATTCGCTATGGTTTTTAATGACGCGTGACTCACATTGTCAGGTGAAAATCTGATCTACCTGCTTACACTGCAGACACAAGAACACAGATCCGATTCATATCGGATAAATTTCCACATATGAACAAGGCCTGAATCTGATTTGAGTAAATCGGAATCCATGTGATTTGTTCCTGCTTACACGTACATGGGCCATATCCGATCTGTGCCACATGGGAGAAAATAATCGGAATTGAGTCACTTGAACAGTGCAGTGTAAATGCAGACAAAATGTATCGAAAGAGTCTTAAAAAAAGGTCTTAAAAGGTAATGAATTTTAACCTCTGGTTCCTGTATACACCCTGATTTTAATTTCAAATAAACAATTTTGCCTTTAGCTGCATGTTATGTAACACATATAACTCATAAGTAGGCGTGCATTATGACTAAAAGTTTAACATTTTGCATCAAATTTGAATATTATGCAAATACTTTTGTGTATTACTTGTGTTTATTAATTGCATTTTATTATATGTTTATGTTTTTAATGAGTTTAAATTAATTTAGTGAGTTTTTTAAAAAGTTTAATGTTTAAAATTATGTATCAATTTTGACTATTATGCAAATATTTTGAGTGTTTTGTTATTTATTAA